ATTAAGGCCCTACATACTTTATTAAAGTATCTCTGGCCAACATTCCTACTGTGGATCTTTACTTTTTTCAATATCCACAGCATCTAATCTCTATTCCAAAATCTTACACACAATATATCTTTCACATATACTTTCACATATGTACATCATATTCTACAAAGTATACTGCAATTTCAGAAGCCAAACACAAAACTAGGTATTCAACAAATTTACAATAAATACTTGAAAAGTTGTTTTTTTACAATGGAGTATCTGATTCTGATTTTTAAAAGGTACTAAATGAGATTTAATTTACATTTGATTTTACTGAACCAAGATTACTCTGCAAACAAAGGTTAATTTTTTTCACAGTAACTATACCAATAAACAGTTTTCTCAACACTGAATAAAATGCATGATGCTTGTCCTGAAGGAGCTCATAATCTATTGTTAAGAAAGCTAGATATACAGACAAGAGAAGACTAGAGAATTCAACATAACATATACCATATCTCGCTCACTGCTTAGTTATGCCATTATGTCAATACTGATCCACAGCCAAGAACCTGGAAATAAAACTATCCTTGTCAGGTACACAAAACCTCCAAAGCAGCAAAATATTAAAGAGGCACAACATTCATGCCCTTTACCAATAGGAGAGGCTCACTTGGTACCAATATACTCTCATATCGTAACATGCTCAATTATGTGGTTTTCTTAGTGGCCTATTTGATTAGAAGCTGCAAATTCTAAAAGGGGGCTAATTCTAAAAGCTTGCCAGCAACAGAGGGAATAAAACCACAGAACTAAAAGCTCAAAATGGGTTCATTCATCAAACACAGAATAAGTCCCTGCAGAATACAAAGATAAAGAAGACAAGATTCAAATATGGTATTTTTCACCTAGCAAATTAGCAAAGATTTCTTAAAATGAGAATCCCACTACCGGTGAGGGATCAGGGAAATAGGCCCCTAAAACACTTTAGGGGGAGGGGGTATTCTGAAGGGCAAGTTGATAATATGCATCAAAAGCTTTGTTGTGTATACCCCCCTAATTAGAAATTATGCTACAGGAATATAGGCTATGAAAATAACCAGAAGCAGCAATGAAGACAAGTAGGCTCTATATTAAATGTAACAGTGAAAAATTAGAAACATCATAAGTGTCCATCCTGGGAGATAAATTATATTACATTTATATGATAAAACCCCCCCCCCCCCCCGAAGATGTTTTAAGGATATAAGGAAATACAGATGAAAAGATTATAAAACCACACACACCTCCTGGCTTTTCCACTTGTAAGCTTATAAACTTAGAGAAGTTTTTCCTAAGTTTCATTTTCCTCATTGTAAAGTGATAATAAAAATAGTACCTACTTCATAAAGATTGAAAGAGCAATCCCTGTTCTCAGATTCTGCTCTGAACAAGACATTAACATTGTCAAAACCTCACAAAAGGAGCTAATAACTACATATTAAATTACAACAGCTTCTAACTAGTCTCCTTTTTAATTTTTCCTCACACCAATGCATCCAACACCACCAACAAATCAATATTCCTAAAACCCTAATTTCACGTCATTTCCTTGCTTTAAAAATTTCCAATGGCCTCAAGATGGGCCAACATAACTTGACCCTATTTTACCCATGCTGTGAAGCATTAACAGTATGAGTGGAATTGGGCTGTTCAAATTTGAATCCTGGGTCCACCACTTATTAACTGTGCGACCCTGGGCAAGTAAATTAATCCCTCTGTGTTTCCTCAGTTCCTCATCTCTAAAATGTGATTAGTACCGACATCACACAGCTGTTCTTATAAAGTAAAAAACTGTATACAATGCTTACTTAGCACACTGTGCTTGGCACAGGAGATGCATCCTTTAACTGTTAGCCATTACTATTACTTCCCCAAACTGCCTATTCCAGCTTTGCTGCTCTCCTTGCTTTCTAAACACACAGTGCCCACCCTTAGGCCTTTGCTGGGGGAGTTCTCAACCATGAAGCACCGCTCCTTAACAACCACTACCAACCACCACTACCAAAAAGTACATAGTTTCAACATTTATGCTATATATTCCAGGTGTTAGGCTGAAACTAACAAACAGTCGCAACCCTTGGAGCTCATAGTCTAATAATAATAGACAGCCAGAGAAAGAGTAACAATAACGTGTTATAGGTATCAAGGGAAGCAATTCCTAGAGTCAGGTGCTTACTCTGAATTCCGAAAGCTGAGCAGATGAATTGGGCTGAGCCAGTGCGTGTGGAATAAGAGCATCCAGTGGTACAGTTATAGTCACTGTACTGAGTCTGGCATTGCTGGAGCACTGAGGCTGAGGGTGGGCAAAGTGAGTGGAAGCTGGATCAGGGAAATCATGAAGTCTGCACTTTAATCTGTAGGCAACAGGTGGCCACTAAATGACATTAAGTAGGACACAACTGCTTGGGCTCTAGAAAAGCTACATTGTGCTGTCCAATATAGAAGCCACATATGACTACTGACTTGAAATGGGGCTAGTGTTGCTGACGAACTAAATTTTACTTTTAATTAATTTAAATTCAAAAATTTATATGCAATTTGGTTTCCAGAAAACTTTTACGCATATTTGGAACAATTAAAGTATGAGAACTTACTTTTCCAACTATAAGTTTAATAAACTCTAAGTACAGATAAAGTACTTCTGATGAAGATTTAGTGTCCAAAATGAAATGTGCTGGAAATGTGAAATACACACCAGATTTTGAAGACAATACAAAAAAAGTAAAATATCTCATTAATAATCTTTATATTAACCATATATCGAAATAATATTTTGAATATATTAAAGAAGACATTAAATTAATTTCACTTGTTTCTTTTTACTTTTTAATGTGGCTACTAGAAAATGTAAAATGACATATGTGGCTTGCATTATATTTCTACAGGACAGCGCTGATCCAGTAGATCCAAAGTCATATGAAAGAGGAAAGAGACCGAATGCAAGACCAATTAGAAGACTCTTTGACAAGCATCCAGATAAGAGATAGGCCTGAATTATCTAAATTCGGCCCATTTCCAAAACCTAATTCAAGACCTACTACTACTCCCAAAGCTTTTCCTACCATAACAATTACTAAGGAGTTGTCTTTCTTTGAATTCCTGGGGCACTTACCATCTTTAGCATGCACTTCAGCACTTAAATCATTTACCACCTCTCATTTTTACTTAATTCTGGGGTGATTTGTTTCTCAGATTAGATTAGAAGCTCCTGGGCTAAGGGCCATAATTTAGGCACCTTTAATTTTTCCACACTTATTCAATGCATTTTCAATACTTTTAATAAATGGAGGTACGTGGATCTCCAAATATGCCATCATACAAACATCTGGAGACACCCAGATGGCTGACTTTGCCTTTCCACAGCAGAAAGTATTGAGAATCTCTTTTCCTTCAGGCACCTCAAGGACATGAGCAAAAAGGATGTAAAAGTTGACTAAAACTCCAAGCCATTGTTCCAATAAACAGTGATCTCTAATCAGTGAGCAAGCACTGGTAGACTGTATTGGATACTGTTAGGGGAAAAAAAGGTCAAGATAGCAGAGCAATTTAGGGTTTTCACAAATTCCACTAAAAGTCAAACAAAAAAGCTCTATCTCCACTGCCAGAGATAACCTTTGCAACATAAGCACTAAGAACTTTCATTCAAGGGAACACCACACATCTTTAAAATTTAAAAATTAACTGCTAAATCAATCCTTCTAACAAATGACACATTTTCCAGGTAGGAAAGCCACATATTACTAATAAATCAACTCGGCATTTTCCCATGTAAATTAAAGGTGAAAAAACACTTTCTAGGGAAATGTTAATAAGTAATATATTTTACCGTATCATGGATAATAAAGTATTTCACCTAAAGTACCGTTTAACTGCAACAACAAACACCCATACAACTGGTCAGCTTTTATCACTACAGAAAGTAGCTAGTAGCAACTAGTTGAAAGGAAGAGACACTTTATGGTTACTAGAACAGATCTTTTGGGAACTTCGCAGTTCTCAGATTTTTGATGTTTGACATTTAAAACATAAAGCTGGCAACTTTCTAATAAGAAATAAGTTCCGACTTGGAAAGATCTTTCTTGCACTCGTTTAATGGCTACAAGGCTGACATAACAACGTGCAACTGAAGTTTCTATCACCAAACAAACAACCGAACAATCAAAGATGGAGTCAGGACAGCTCATGAGGAAACATAAGGTAGTTCTATTCCGAAAGGCAGAATAAGAAATGGGGGAAATCTGTCAAACCGCCTGGATGAAATCAAGGAGTTAAAAAGAAACACTCATTTCCTTTAGCACGATGAGAAAATCCCGGTTGCTAATAGAAAGCTGAGGAAAGTTTAGTTTGGCTGGTTTCATCGCGTTTTCCTTCCAACATCACCGAGTATGAACGACTGCTTTCCTCTCCCACTACTCAGTGAACACTCCCCCACTGAACTGAGTTGCCTTCCGGAGCCCTGCGCCCCCGCCTCCCTCCCTGCAAACGTGCTCAGACGCCTCTGGGCATGCCGTGTTCTCACCAGTCTGCGGGAGAGCGCTCCAAACTCAATGGACAATGGAGCTCACCCCCGTCCCCGCGAACTACAAAGCTCAGGAGGGCCATTTCCCTTTTCCTGCCCAGATGCTGTTTTCCCTCCTTCGAAGCAGAGTCCCAAGCTCGACTAGAGCCCCAGTTCGGGCTGGGACCCCTGCCTCCTTCCCCAGCTGCAGAGCTGCCGAACCCCAGATAAGTGGTACCGCGGCGAAGAGGCCAAAAGGCGACCACCACCCAGCAGCTTGGCTGGGGGCACAGGTTTCACAGTCCAGGTAGGACGGGGAGGGGATGTCTCTGGACGCTTGGTCATGGCCCTCAAAGCTAAGGCGTCCCCTCGGTCCCCTCCTCAACTTCAACTTGCCTCCCCTCCCCCTACAGAGAGGAGACGGAGAGGTGCCGGGCAGGCATCACCGCCACCTCCTCCTCCAGGACAGTCCTCGGCCGACACTCACCCTTTCACCACAAAGAAGGGGTCCTCCATAGACATGGCGCCCCGCCCCCGGCCGCCTTCGCCTGCTCCGTGCACTGGGCGCCCACGCCTTCCTGGCCTCCCTCCGCCCACCCCACCGGCCTCCGTCAGCCGCCCGCGCCTCGGCCTATGGGACCCTGAGCAGCGGGCGCGTGCACAGGCCGCGGTGCACCGGACGGCCGGAGGTCCAGCACTCGGTCAGCACTGCGGCCCGGATCCCGGACTCTGGCGCCGACCCCCGCGGCAGCCTCCTCCCCCGACTCTTGCCGGCGCGTCCGCCTGCCTGACCCCGCCCCCGGGGCCCTCAGCTGCAGCCAATCGCAAACGCGCCTTGCACCACCACTTCCGCACCCGCGCTCACGTGACCAGGGCTGGCCCCGCCCCTCGTCGGCGGGGCCTGGGCACTGTGTCATGCGGAGGCGGGGCTCCGGGGGCGGTGGAGGAGGGGCGGTCTTTTCCAGCCTGTCCCCTCAAGTTTGAGGCACTGCTGGTTTCTTCAGAGGTAGGCCGTCAGGGTTTCAGGATCAGCTGTACTTGTACCTAAATTGCATAATCCTTTTACCTTTCCTCTGGTTTTAATACTAGATGTTAACAGTATGTGATTTATAAATCCATCTCGTACTCGACTTACAATAAAGCAAGCTCATACGTATTATCTGATTATGATAATGTTACACAGCTCCTTTATGTAGGTCTTTATGTGCTAAAGGCTGTATTTGCATTATCTCAATATTCTTATGGGGAAGGTATTCTTATTCTCATCATGTAGACGAGAAAATAAGTTCAGAGAGGTTTCAAGAGTTCCTACGGTCACACAGCCTGGAGAGGGCAGAGCTGCAGATTCTGTGCGCTTTCCACCAGATGGGCTGTATTTTCTTTTGCTGTACATTGTCTGCAAATGACCACGTAAGGTAATTTTTTCAGACAGCATATGGTGCTTCCCGGGAGACAGCACCATTGAGGAACAAAGAAGGGGCCATGTATAACAACTTACTTTCAGTTGTGGTTCAAGAGCTTCCAGAAAGCAGTTTGGCAAGAACAATTAGCCAACTCATATGCTAGATATGCTATGGAATTTGTGGATGGAGGTTGTGGACTTTCATTACTGATAAGCATTGATTACTTACTGTGTGTCATGCGGGATGCTGAGTGTTATCTCAGTTGCTCTCACAATGAGGTAATTACTGTTATTTATTATTTCCATATTACAAAAGAGGAATCTGAGGCTCTAGGAGGTTAAATGACTTGCCCGAGATCACCAGTCTCTGTGGGGATGGCAGAATTCTTTGAGCCAGACAAACACTGTTTGAACCCGGTCCCTATTTTTCAATTCCTCATCTGTAAAATATAAATAATAGTATCTAGCTCATGGGTGGTTGTGGGGGTTAAATAAAAACGCGTGCATACCTCCAAACCCCAAAGGAGTGAGGTAGTAAAGTCAGGGGACCAGTTGGGAAACTACTTTGGTCATCTGGTCTGAAGGGATCAGGTCAGACCAGGAATGACCAGAATGGAGAGGAAGGAGTGAATCGGATAGATGTTTCAGAAGAAAAACAAAACAAAACAAAACACCTAGACATGATGAGAGCAAGCTGCTTAATCTCTCACTGTTTTCAACTGTGAAATGGGTACCATAGTAACACCTTCTTCATAGAGTGTCACGAGGACTGAGCTGATGTGTGATAAGTGTTTAGAACAGTGCCTGACATGTGTTGTGATCTGGCTATGTACTAGACACCAAACACAGAGATGAACAAGGCTTCAGACTGGAACTTCAGACTGGTGGGAGAGACAGGCAATTACATACAATGAGAGAAGGGCACAGGTTGCCATAGAAAAACAGAGACAAGCTACCAGTTTATTTATGTGTGTATCAGGGCTGGGGTGTGGAGTCCCTAAACAGTGACTAGAGGAAGCCAGAAGGGGGCCGTGATGTAGAACAGCATGGTGGCCTGTGGAGGAGCCACAGCAGAGGGTGTTGCTGGAGTAGAAGGAATGGGATGGTGGCAGCAGGGGCTAAGGCTGGAGGTGGGCAGGGTCAGATTATCAAGCCCTTGTTTTTGATATTAAGAACTGTGGACATGCTCCTGTAAGTCATGGGGACTGAGGAATTGACAGGGTCAGATAGGCATTTGAGACAGATGCTGCAGTGGCTGGCAGATCATGGTCCAAAGGAGGGATGAGGGTGTCCTAAGCTAGGTTGATGGCAACTAAGATGGAAAAGAGGGATGCATTTGAGAAATACCTTAGGGGCAAAATCAGTAGACTTGGTGACTCAATGGTTCAGGGTGTGGAAGAGTTGGTGGAAAAAGCGGGAGGAAGTCTTCAGGGTTCTGGAGTTAGTTGCTGGTTCCACTCACCAAGAAAGAGAATACAGGAGGAGGATTCCGTGCAGGGTAGAGATAAATTAGCTGCTAGCATGTTGGTTTTCCCCACTAAACGAAACTCCTGGAGGGGTGGAGTACTAAGGTAATGTATTACTACCTCTGCCTAGCACAGCCTCTTACTATCTGTTCCATGAATTTATTAATTAGACCCAAGTGAGAGGTGATAGTTTTATAAGTAGAAACATAGACAGAGGACAGAGGCTTGGAAAAGTCCCATAATAGGGGTTTGGAACAAGCACCAACAGTGGAGAGAGTGGAGGGGGTTGAGCTATGAACTGTGTATGGGTCTTTAATCTGTCACCCTCTGCAGTGGATTGAATTATGTTCCCCCAAAACTCACTGAAGCTGGAATTGTATTCTCCAAGTTTTATGTATTAGAAACTTGGCCCCCACTGTGACTGTTAATAGGGTGAGAAATCCTTTTAAGGTAATTGAAAGGTGGAGCCTTAAAGAGGTGATTAGGTTGTGGGACCGTGCAGTGGTGAATGGATTAAAAATGATGGTCAAGGGCATGGTTCTGAGGGCCTTAAAAGAAGAGGAGAGTCTGGCTCTCTCTCTCCTCTCACCATCTTACAATGTGAGACCCCTGGGTCACTGTTGCCACCACCAGATGGACTTTGGGCCTTCCAGCCTTGGAAACCGTAAGCAACAAGTTTTGTTTTCTTTATAAATCACCCAGATCCAGGTATTTTGTTATAAGCAACAAAAACAGACTAATGCACCCTCCTTCACTCCCTCTCAAACTAAACCTTTGCCTCCACTGCCCCAGGGAAAGGGAAGCTATAGCTAAAATGTGAGAAGAAACAAAGGAAGTTATTTCTTTGTGGGTTTTTTTTTTTTTTTTCCCATTTAACCAGCCCCAGATACTGGCATAAACAATAGCTTAGGAAGAATTCTCAGCAAAAAAGCTCTCTCTCCCATACCCCCACACACACCTCTACCCCCAAAAAAGAAGAATTAAAATTTCTCATGGGTAAAAAGTCAAAACAGTAGTCTCCAGATAGAGTATCAACTGGGAAGGGAAACTTTCTGGGGCGATAGAAATGCTCTGTATCTTGACAGGGCGTGGGTTACATGGGTGTATGTGTTTGTCAGAACTCATCAACCTTTAGCACTTGAACTTGTTCATTTTGTTGGGGGAGGCTGACATGCCTACTCTGGGTTTTCTGTAGGATCCTGAGAGGGCATCCAGGAGAGCCTCTGGTCCCTGAGTGAGCCTCCAAAGTTAGGAGAGTGGGTAATGGAGGGAGCTTACTGGGGTCTTGCAAGGCATCTTGTGCAGAAATAAGGAGATGGCAACGCAGAGAATAGGGCACAGGTAGCCGGGCCATAGAGCCGATGGGGAGGAGGATCAGAAAGGATCAAATCATATCTTGTTGGTAAGGGTGCCAGGATAGACCTGAGAGGGACTGCAACGGGTAGTCACCCTCTCCCCCTAAAAGCCGTGGGAGTTCCATAACATCCTTATGTTACTGGACTCAGGTCTGGCTGCCCGCCCTCTTGAAAAGGAAAAAAAAACTAAGAAGTCAAATGGCTGGTGTTAGAAAAGCAGATGTATTCAGCTGAAGGAGATGGTAGGCTGTCCCATCTCGAAGATTTACATAAACTGAGGGGCTTTTAAAGGATGGCTTGGGCTGGCCCCGTGGCGCACTCGGGAGAGTGCGGCAGAGTGCGGCGCTAGGAGCGCAGCGACGCTTCCGCCGCGGGTTCGGATCCTATATAGGACTGGCCGGTGCGCTCACTGGCTGAGCGCGGTGTGGGGACACCAAGCCAAGGGTTGCGATTCCCTTACCGGTCACGAAAAAGACAAAAAAAAAAAAAAAAAAAAAAAAAAAAAAAAAAAAAAAAAAAAAAAAAAAAAAGGATGGCTTGAGGGAATGGAATGTGGGAGGTGAAAATCAGGAGAGCAGGAGATGTGAGTTATGAGGGGTCCGTTTCTATGTGTCAGGTACAAGGTCTTGCCAAGGCCTCTCTGGTTTCTGTTCTCATCTTCACTGTTATCTCAGGACCCTGCAAAGATTTTGATTTGTGCCGGTGTACTTGGCTAGTGCCCAAGGTCAGCTTCAGTCATTTGGCCTTGATCATTTCTCAAAACTCTACAAGTCTCAAAGAAAGAACTGTTAGCTTTGCAAAGAAGTAAGTAGCTTCTCAGCCTTGTTTTCCCTACTTAGCGAGCGAGGTAAGAAAGTCAGGGGATGGGAAGCAAGAGTGGAGAGAAAAAAACTGTCATTTTAAAAATCCTCCCCCGCTGCAGCCCAGGCAGCTTTAGGTCCTAACATGGCTTTGGTCCTGCTCGCTCCAACACTTACAGGGTGTACTATAAAATGGAACCCAACGTGCTCCCTCATTAGGTTGTTATAAAGATCGACTGGGATCATATATGTGAAAGCGTTTTGCAAAGTATCAAATACTATAAGCCACCCTAAATCCTTTTTTAGAAATTAAAAAAAATTTTTAAATTGTGGTAAAATACACATAAAATAAAATTTACTGTCTTAACCATTTTTAAGTGTACATTTACCTTGTTGTACAACGAATCTCCAGAACTCTTTTACCTTGTAAGACTGAAACTCTACACCCATTAAACAACTCCCCATTCACCCCTCCCCCCAGTTTCTGGCAACCACCGTTTTACTTTCTGTCTCTATGAATTTGGCTACTCATGTAAGTGGAATCATACGGGATCTGTCTTTTTATGACTTGTTATCTCACTTAGCATAATGTCCTCAAGGTTCATCCACGTGGTAGCATATTACAGAATTTCCTTCCTCTTTAAAGCTGAATAATATTCTATTGTATGTATATACCACACTTTTTTTGTCCATTTATCCATCAGTGGACACTTTCATTGCTTCCACCTTTTGG